TAACACAAAACTTCAACTCACTCTCAGTAAAAGCCAGCTCGACCCAATGCCCACATGGCCCAACAAACCTTGTGCCCATCGCCTCTCTGTCCTCTCCTTTCTTCACTCCACACTAGCCACAGTGCCCTTTTTGTTGGTCCCTAAACCTACCAGATTGGAGAAGGCAATGGCACCCCACTCCAGTACTCTTGCCTGGAAAATTCCATGGACGGAGGAGCCTGGTATGCTGCAGTCCATGGAGTCGCTAAGAGTCAGACACGACTGAGCGACTTCACTTTCATGCATTGGAGAAGGAAATAGCAACCCACTCCAGTATTCTTGCCTGGAGAATCCCAGGGACGGGGGAGCCTGGTGGGCTGCCATCAATGTGGTCACAGAGTCGGACACGACTGAAGTGACTAAGCAAACCTACCAGATAATCACAATGGTGTGATCACTCACCTAGAGCCAGATATCCTAGAATACGAAGTCAAGTGGCCTGAGGAAGCATCACTACGAACAAAACCAGTGGAGGTGATGGAATTGCAGTTGAGCTCTTTCAAATCCTGAAAGATGATGCTGTGAAAGTGCTGCACTCAAGATGCCAGCAAATTTGGAAAACTCACCAGTGGCCACAAGACTGGAAAAGGTCAGTCTTCATTCCAGTCCCTAAGAAAGGCAATGCCAAAGACTGCTCAAACTACTGCACAATTGCACTCATCTCACACACTAGTAAAGTAATGCTTAAAATTCTCCAAGCCAGGCTTCAGCAATACAAAACCATGAGCTTCCAGCTATTCAAGATGGTTTTAGAAAAGGCAGAGGAACCAGAGATCAAATTGCCAACATCCGCTGGATCATCAAAAAAGCAAGAGAGTTCCAGAAAAACATCTATTTCTGCTTTATTGACTATGCCAAAGCCTTTGACTGTGTGGATCACAATAAACTGTGGAAAATTCTTAAAGAGATGGGAATACCAGACCACCTGACCTGCCTCTTGAGAAACCTGTATGCAGGTCAGGAAGCAACAGTTAGAACTGGACATGGAACAACAGACTGGTTCCAAATAGGAAAAGGAGTACGTCAAGGCTGTATATTGTCACCCTGCTTATTTAACTTATATGCAGAGTACATCATGAGAAACGCTGGGCTGGAAGAAGCACAAGCTGGAATCAAGATTGCCGGGAGAAATATCAATAACCTCAGATATGCAGATGACACCACCCTTATGGCAGAAAATGAAGAACTAAAGAGCCTCTTGATGAAAATGAAAGAGGAGAGTGAAAAAATTGGCTTAAAGCTCAACATTCAGAAACCTAAGATCATGGCATCTGGTCCTATCACTTCATGGCAAATAGATAAGGAAACAGTGGAAACAGTAGCTGACTATTTTTCTGGGCTCCAAAATCACTGCAGATCGTGATTGTAGCCATGAAATTAAAAGACGCTTACTCTTTGGAAGGAAAGTTATGACCAACCTAGACAGGAACTAGAAGTGACCAACCTAGACAGCATATTAAAAAGCAGAGACATTACTTTGTCAACAAAGGTCCGTCTAGTCAAGGCTATGGTTTTTCCAGTGGTCATGTACGGATGTGAGAGTTGAACTATAAAGAAAACTAAGTGCCAAAGAATTGATGCTTTTGAACTGTGGTGTTGGAGAAGACTCTTGAGATTCCCTTGGACTGCAAGGAGATCCAACCAGTCCATCCTAAAGGAGATCAGTCCTGGGTGTTCATTGGAGGGAGTAATATTGAAGCTGAAACTCCAATACTTTGGCCACCTGATGTGAAGAGCTGACTCATTTGAAAAGACCCTGATGCTGGGAAAGATTGAGGGCAGGAGAAAGGGACGACAGAGGATGAGATGGTTGGATGGCATCACCAACTCGATGGACATGGGTTTGGGTGGACTCCTGGAGTTGGTGATGGACAGGGAGGCCTGGCGTGCTGCAGTTCATGGGGATGCAAAGAGTCGGACACAACTGAGTGACTGAAGTGAACTGAAACCTACCAGATACACTCCTGCCTCAGGGCATTTACAGTTGCCATTCCCTCTGCCTGGCATACTGTTCCCCTAAATATCCCATAATTCACCATATTGTGAATTTTATTTATATATCTTGCCCATTACCTATCTCCATCAATTAGAATGTGAACTCCTTAAGAACAGAGCTATTTTTGGCTGTTTTATTCACTGATATATCTGCAGCATTTAAACCAGCATGCCACTTGGTAGGCATTCAATAAATGCTTGTTTTAAAAAAATGAATGAACAACAAGAGCTGATCACTCAACCATTCACACAGTGAGCAATGATCACCCCCACCCCGCCCCCACCTGCCTGACACCATGCTTTGAGCTAGGAGGGCTGAGAAAGATCAGAACCAACCTGGGCCCAGCTGGGAGGGGCGATCAGAGCATATGTAACCAGGGCATGAGGAAGACAGTGCTCAAGAGCGGAGGGGATGGAGAGAGAGGGCAGGACCTAGCAATGAGCGATGGCTCCATGGAGAGACAGTGCTCCAGCCAATCCGTGAGGGCCCAGAATGATTCAGGCACATGGAGAAGGGGAGGGAGGAGAGAGAGCAGATGGAGAGCCCAGATGTAGGGGGCAGGGGGCATGTCCTGGGAACCAGGCGGGGAACTGCATGGCAGGACCACGTAGGAATAAGACTACTAAGGATATCAGGGCCATCCATGAGGGGCCTGGGATGCCAGGATGAGGAGTCAGACTTAGTTTTCCCGAGGAAAACCAAGGAGCCACACGAGGCTTTTGAGCAGGAAAGGTCCGTGGTGTCACTCTGGCAGCGCGAGAAGAACAAGATGTGGTGAGCGAGCAGGAAGACAAGGAGACCAGGAAGCTGGCTGCTTGGGACAGTCCCAGAGAAAGACAGCAAGGTGTGAGCCAAGACGGGACGGAGTGGACCAAGAGAACAGGGGCGGAGGCTGCCCTGGCGGCTCAGTGGTCAAGAATCCACCTGCCAGGGCAGGAGAGACACGGATTCAGTCGCTGATCCGGGAAGATTCCACATGCTGCGGAGCAACTCAGGCCACGGGCCACAACTACTGAGTCCGCGCTCCACACCAAGAGGAGCCACCGTGATGAGCAGCCCGCACACCGCAACCAGAATAACCCCGGCTCACCACAACTACAGAAAAGCCCGCACATCAGTGAAGACCCAGCACAGTCACAGATAAACAAATAAATAGAAATTATTTTTTAAAGTCCATTAAGGAGATAAATTTACAAAAAGAAAAAAGAAAAGAGGTGGTTTGGAGGTGTTAAGGGTTTATGACTGGTGTTAGTGGGCAGGGGTGGGGCATGGGGAGCTTGGGGGGAGCTGGAGCCTGAATCTCGGGACCTCAGGAGCACAGAGCTGTGGAAGTGGCAGGGGTTGGGGGGTGGGGTCTGGTCAGGGCGTCCAGAGGGAACCACACCACTTCTGGAAGGCTGAGGAGTTCTGGGGATCCCGTCCAGCCCCTGCAGGAGCCGCAGGGAGGAGCAGGTTCCCAGCACAGGAGGGTGGACACGTCCCAGACCCGCCCACCTTCCTGCCCCTCAGCCCCTCACACCCCAGGGCAGGCCCAGAGAAGAGATTCTCCAGCTGGCTTTGTCAGCTAAGATGCAGTGTCATTTCTAGATGAGCCATCCAGCTCTGGAGATGCGCCAGGCTACGGAGGGGGGACAGCTGTGTCCCCGCAACACAGCCAAGGAGCCACTTCCCAGAGCCAAGCAAGACAGTGGCAGAAGCAGAGCTGGCAGGGGCTCCGCGGGCCCAGCCAATGCAGAGACAGGCCTTCAACAGGGCTTCCATCTGCCCGGGGCCGCCGCCTCCCCGCAAGGTCAGGCTCATTCAGTCCCCACCAGCTGGAGATGATGATCCCAGTCATGCTCTCGGCCAATAAGCACTAAGGCATTTATTAGGCTGGCCTGCTGTATGCCAGCCTCTGTTTCTCTCCCACAGGGGCGACAAGGGTCAATGTGGCATGAAGGACATAGACTTTGGAGCCTGCAGGGGCGGAATTAGAGGCTGATCTGTCTCATCCTTGGTGCTGCTGTCTCTGGGCCTCAGTTTTCCCATCTGTTGAGTGGGGATAAGAAAAACCCTTTCCAACAAGGGCATATGGTGGTGGTGGGTTAGTTGCTGAGTCATGTCCGATTCTTGCGACCCCATGGACTGTAGCCTGCCAGGCTCCTCTGTCCATGGGATTCTCCAGGGAAGAATACTGGAGTGGGTTGCCATTTCCTTCTCCAGGGACAAGGGCATGATAAGGACCAAATAAGAGCACGTACAGGAGGGAATGCTAACAGAACTTGTCTATTTCCCAGGGATTTCAGTGGAAACCCAACCAAGGTTGAGGATGCTGGTGAGAAACACTCATACCTTAAAGGAGATGCCACCCACCAAGGACAGTACAGGGCATTAGTTATATCTACCCACTTTGGTCTAGCTTATGACACTCCTCCAGGCAAATATTCTACATTTAATTTTAAATAAAGAGGATAAAAGACTGAGACTTTCCCTGCATACTTTTAGACTAAAATAATACAGTAGAAGAATCACTTTTAGAAGAAATGAGGTCCCAGTATCACCAAAGCATTAACCAGGAGGGACTTCCCTGGTGGTCCGATGGCTGAGATTCCATGCTCCCACTGCAGGGGACCGGGGTCAGTCCTTGGTCAGGGAACTAGATCCTACATGCCAAAACTGAGATCCTACGTGCTGCAATGAAAACCCAGTGCAGTGAAAAAAATTTTTTAAAGCATTAACCAACAGCTCAAAGGACACACTTTAGATTCAGAAAAGCTTAGGCCCAAATCCTAGTTCTACCCCTTCCTAGCTGAGGCTCTTGGTAAGCCTTAGTTTACTCATCTGTAAAATGGGAATATCAGAGCTTCACCTGGAAGGAGTACTAAATATAACATTTGGGAAGACCTGGCACAGTGTCAGCCTATGTGAAACAGCAGTTCCCTACCCACTGCAGCCCACTCCCACCTCTGAAGGGGCCCTCACTTACATAGGAGGCCAGGAGGGTGGTCGGGGCCAGGATGAGAGCCAGGTAGAGGCAGGGGGCTGCAGCAAGCAAGCTGGCAGCACAGATGAGGGGCTCAGCCTGAGGGTTGACTTTCTTGTACCTCCTTGAAGTCTCTGCTCCCAGGATAACCCCAATAATGCCAGTGACAACAGTCAGTGCCCCGAAAATCAGGCTGATGGAAAAGAGCAGAGAGGGCTTGGTCAGCGGTGAGATCAGGATAGGGGTCCGGCCACCCGCCCTCCAGTGCATGACCTGGTATGTGTGTATGTGTGTGTGTGTTCAGTCGTGTCCGACTCTTTATGACCCCATGGACTGTAGCCTGCCAGGCTCCTCTGTCCATGGATTTCCCCAGGCAAGAATACTAGAGTGGGTTGCCATGCCCTCCTCCAGAGGATCTTCCCAACCCAGGGACTGAACCCATGTCACCCGTCTCCTGCATTGCAGGCAGATTCTTTACAGCTGAGCCACATGATCTGGTACCTGCAGGGCATGTGGCTGTGGGCCTCTTCCCCTCCCTCCTAACCAATGCTCCTGGGTCCTTGGGACCCTGCTCAGGGGTCCATGTACTCCCCTACTCTTCCCATTCCCCTTTCTGCCTCATCCCTGGGACTCCACTGGCCGTGTGGGTTATCTTTCCAGCACCCCAGCTCCCAGCCTGTCTCATCACCAGCAACCTCCTGCACTGTCTCGCCACTGAAATCTGCCCCATTCAGAAATCTTAATTCTACAGTCCCACTCTAGCCCCAACCTTCTTGCCTTCCAGCCCCAAATACTAATGGGATGTAAGTGAACATTTACTTATAGAGCTCCTATGATACACTGGCACTTACCTGGGAATTTTACACTTCCTTGAGTCCATCCTTCCCTCTCTGTCTCTGAACATCCCTCAAGTAGCGCCTCCTAACTTCACTATCTTTCCCACCTACTCCTGGGCCCACTTCCACTCCACTTGGTCCCTCTTGCAGCTTCTTCCTGTAGAAACGTCATTCCAAGATAACCTCCATACAGCTCCCCAGAGAATGCTTTCTAGGACACCAATCTGATCATGTACCTGCCCAGCTCCTGCCTAAAATTCTCCACCAGCTCTTAAACACCCACCAGATTTGATTCCAGTTCACTGTGGTGTGATCTGACCTTCCTGATCTGATCCTTGGTGACCTCAACCCCAAACCCCAATTCCATCCTCCTCAACCCCTAGACTTGTTGCTGTCCCCACTTCATACCTTTGTTCCTTCATCTAGAGCACCCTTCATTGATTTTTCTATTTACCAAATTCCTATACAGCCTTCAAGACCCATCACAAATGTCTCCTCTTTGGGGATGCTTTCCCCTGTCCGTTTGCTGATTCATTCACCCTTTCAGTTACTATAGCACCTTCTGCGTCTCTGTCATCAAGATCACTCACTAGACTGTGAATTCCTGGAGAACAGAACCAGGCTTGGTTTACTTTTTTGACTCTGGGCTGGGAGCATAGAGTCTGGAACAAGCGATATATGTTAAGCAAATGGCTCACAGATCTCTCCCAGAATTCCCAAGTGAAAAGGTGAGGAAGGTGAGGTTAAGAAAGGTCAAGGCCAAGATTACCCTGCTAGTAAGTGACAGACCAGGATCTGAATATATATCTTCATCCTCCTGGTCCATCCTAGCCCAAAAGATGAACTCAAGCCTCCTTTTAAAGGCAAAGGGATGCTGAGACTGACTAGCGTGAACTCTTGAAAACAACAAATGTAACTGAGACTTTTCCAACCCTTAACTGGATTCCTGTCATCCTCGAAGCAAGCTCCCGGCCGGCACTGCAGCACTGGCCCCTGTTGACCTGTGTAACCTCCCTTCTTTTCTCCCTCCCTCACTCTGCATGAATGATCGAGAATTCTCTAAACTTACCCCACACTTTCTGGCTTCCCCGTCTTGGCCCACACTCTTCCCTCTGCCTGGAGCACCACCACCCCCACCAACCATTCTCCACATGGCCAGGATCCTCTCCCAGAGCCAAACCTTTCCAAAAGTGCCAGGTGCCTGCCATTACCTCCATGGCTCCCACCAAGGCGCAAGAACATGACAGATGCAAGACCATGGTTACTGACAAATTGAATGTCACCAAAAAAAAAAAAATCTCTCCAGAGAAGACAGGGACCAGCCTGAGGCCACACAGACCCACACTACAAAACCAGGGTCTCCTGGCTCTCTTCCTACTGAACAAAGTATGTGTGTCCTTAGGCAGCTTAAAGGTGCTTAACCAAACCTTCTGAGGCTTCCAAGCTGTACCAGGCTCCAGCTCAGCCCGGTCAAGTGACCCCGAATCCGGGTGAATGCTATCTGCCTCTCAGTCCTGGTCTGAGCCGAACTTGGCAGGTTCTCAAGACCTTTCTAAGACTCAGGATTGATTATTCAGACAAGTGATTTAGATGGGGGCCCCCCAGAGCCCCTGACCAGAGGGGTGGGCAGAGGACACACCTACCACGAAGTGTCCCCACCTCCACATCGCCTCCCAGAATCAGACTCTCAGAGCCAAGAGGGTCCTTAAGGCCTGCAAGTTCTGTGCTGATCCTCTGTACAGTGGCCCAGGCAAGCAGCTATCCAGCGCCTACTTACATGACCCTAGGGGTGTGAAACTCAGTAGACCCTTGCTGCCCCTTCCGTCTGGGCTCTAGATGTTTTAAGTTCTCCCTCTGGCTGAGCTAGAATCCTGTGTACTGCGGCTTCCTGCTCCCATCCAAGCTTCACCTGAGGGCTTAGCCTAACCAAGGAGGGTGCATGGACAGGTAAGTTCTGGGGGCTTCCCCAGTGGTCCTGTGGCTGAGATTCCACGCTCCCAATGCAGGAAGCCCGAGTTCAATCCCTGGTCAGGGAACTAGATCCCTCATGCCACAACTAAGACTCAGCACAGACAAATAAATAATATTTAAGGGGAAAAAAAGAAAACAGCTAAGATCTATGCAGAACCAGGGCTTTCTACCCACCCTGGGGTAGGCTAAACAATGCTCCTCACCCAAGATATCTATGTCCTAACTTCTGGAACCTGTGACTGTTCCCTTGTATGGGCAAAATAATCTTTGTGGATGTGACTATATTAATATTCTTGAGCTAGAGAAATTTTCCTCCACTTTTTAGGTGGGTCTTCAGTGCAGCTACAAATGTCTTTATAAGAGGGAAGCAGAGGGAGATCTGAGACTGAAGAGGACAAGGCAATGTGACTGTGGATGCAGTGATGCAGCCTCAAGCAGAGGCCGCCCACAGGCACCAGAAGCCAGAAGCGGCACAGGAGGAGGCTTTCCGAGGGCCTCTAGCAGGAGCGTGGCCCTGCTGAACTTGGTTTTGACCCAGTGAAACCATTCTGGACTTCTGGCCTCCAGGACTATGGGAAACATTTCTGTTGCTCGAAGCTACTGAGCATGTGGACATTCGGTCCATCAGCCCTAGGACCCGAACACTAACTCCCATGTCAGTTTCTCAACCAGGTTCTGGGAAGGAGCCAAGTTAGAGGAAGAGGCTGAAACAGAGAAAGGGGAAATCACTGACCCAGGAATGCACAGCCAGTGAAGGCCTGGAGTGGGATGGAGTCCTGGTTTATTTTTCCACTTTTTCAAGCTGCTGGGGGACTTTTAGGACTCAGTGTTTACCTCTGGGAAGATAAGAATCTAGCCGTAGAGCCAGGATAAACATCATAATATCCTGGGACTTCCCAGGCAGTCCAGTGGTTAAGATTCTGCACTTCCACTGCAGCGGGCACGGGTTCAATTCCCTGGCTGAGGAACTAAATTCCCACATGCCATACAGTGCAGCCAAAAAAAAAAAAAAATCACAATCTCCTTTGGTGCCTCAGTTTGCCATCTGTAAAATGGGACAGCCTCAGGCTACAGGTCCCTCTGAAGCAAGGCTGCCTAGAAATCCCACTATTCCTTAGGTCCCACAGAAACCTCACTTACCCCCAAGTGCCTTCCAGACCCTCACAGGGGCCCAAGAGCGAGAAGACAGGGACTGGGGCCTGGAGATGACAAGCGAGTGGCCTGTGGCCACTCAGAGCAACAAGAGCTCTGCCTGAGCTAGAACCAGGCTGGTGGGCCACCGAGTCCTGGTGTCCACCCAGAGATTGAGTCTAGGGACTCAGAACCCCAAGAACTTCCCCATCAAGAGCCCAGCTGTTGGGGACTTCCCTGGCAGTCCCATGGTTGAGACTCCATGCTTCCATTGCAGGGGGCACAAGTTCGATCCCTGGTCAGGGAACTAAGGTCCTGCATGCCACACCATGTGGCCGAAAAAAAGAGCCAAGACGTCCCTCACCTGTCCTGGCTGTTGCACGGCTCCCGAAAGCAGGGAAGGAGCAGCCCGTGCACCACACGGGCCTCGAACAGAAACTTGGGGGCCCAGAAGCCCAGAGCTCCAGTCACAAAGGCCATGGCTGTCACCCCAAGCGTCGACCACACAAAACTCCAGCTGAAAGAGAAAGTGGATGAGACAGAGGACAAGATGGTTGGATGCCATCACCAACTCAATGGACATGAGTCTGAGCAAGCTCCGGGGAGACAGTGAAGGACAGGGCAGCCTGACGCGCTGCAGGCCATGGGGTCGCAGAGTCGGACATGACTGAGCGGCTGAACAACAAGAGAAAGTGCTGTGGATGGAACTGGGAGAGGGCTGGGGCTGTCGGGGCCTGTCCGCTCCCCTCCTCCGTCTCCTGGGCACTCAGGTGGTCGCAGATCCTCCACTGACACCCGCTAAGCAGCCTGCCCTTCCCACCTCCACACTTTCACTCCTGCTCTGCATTCCTCCCTTCTCTCTGAGGACCAAGTCTCCCCCACCAGAGCGACCCAAATCCAACATCACATTCTCCAGCAATCTGTCCCTCTCCCCTGCCCTCCACTTGGCTCATGGCTCTGTAACAAAGAAGTGGCGTCCGGTCCACGCCCCACATTTTAGTAAATTATGAGACCTGGGTAGGTGACCCCAACCTACCTCCCCAGCCATGCCAGGAACAGAGGAGGGATGCTCTCCCATGAGGTTCAGAGAGGTGAGCGATATACACTCGGGCATCTTCCCAACAACCTGAGAAGCCGGCAAAGCTACAGAACCATGTCTGCTGAATAAATGAGGGGAGCTGGGCTCCAAGTCTCAGGTCACTCAGGGATAAGGCAGTGGCAGAGCCAAGGCCGGAGCTCCCTCCCTCCCAGCCCAACTTCTGTCTCATGGCAGGCAGAGGGAGGTCTCTGAGTGGGGGAGCGACATCTCAGCTGGTGACAGAGAACTCAAAGGAAGAAGAGGGCTGTGAACGCTGCTGGGGCAGTCAGGGAGGGCTCCCTGGAGGCGCAGGGAGGGAGGGTGGTGATGCTGGGGCAGGCAGAGGGGTTTTCAATGACCCGCAGGGAGGAGCAGAGACACTCACTTTCTCCACAGGTATCTGACGTCCTCACACCAGCTGCTCCGTGGGTCCCCCATGGTTGCGACCCCCTGCTTCTCAGCAGCTCCTCGGGGTGGGTCTGGAACCAGCATGATAAGCAGGATCAAGGCCACAGCTTCCAGGCAGGGCATGATCTGGGGACAGGAGGGCCCAGGAAGCTCAGGGCCACACATCCCTGTAAGCCAGGAGATCCCAGCAGTGACTGAACTTTGTGGACCAGGTTCTTGGGTTGCTCTGCGCCCCAGGGGATAGGGGACATGGGCTCACATCGGGGGAGCTGGTTATACACAGAGCTTGCCATATCACTGCTTCTCACCCCTGAGAGGACGGGCTCTCTGGGGAGCATGGGCCCCTTGGGATTTGACTCCTGTACAGACCCTACTCTATTGGAATCAGTGAGGCTGACACGGTTGAGAACTGGAGGCTTGACTATACTGACCCTGACTGTGGAGGACTTGCTGCCCCAGTGTTTCCTTTCCTGGCCCACACCTCCATCTGCCAGGCCAGCCCTGTCCAAGCATCTTCCCCTCCCTCGCCTCACTGATCCTTAAGGTGCCATAAGGTAGCTTTACTCCCCCACTCTACCGATAGGTAAAGTGAGGCCCCGAAGAGGGAGGTGACTTCCTTGAGATCACACAGCTAGCAAACTGAACGGCTGGGATGTGAACCAGGCGTGCAAATTCCAGAGGCCACGGTCCATACGCAGCCCTGAAGCTGCCGACGTCTGAACACCCGCCATGGCGCCAGATGCTGTGCCAAGGGGCTAAGGCCACTGGAGACTGGAAAGTCCCCGCTGGCCCAGGGGGGAAAGCAGAGGGAAGAAAAGGAAGCTGGACTCACTCGGAGGGCCCAACGCCAGTTCCCAGTCAGCTCTGTCACAGCCGACCCCAGCACGTAGCCCAGACCACTGCAACAGAGAGGTGGGGGACATGGGCTGTGAGGGGAGGCAGGCGGCCCCAAGACCCCAAAGCCAGCCTGAGCCAGGGTGCCCCTACCCCAGGGAGCCAGCTCTCGGCAGCTCACAGCCTTTTCACTGGGAAAAGTGAGCCACGTGAGGCCCAGATGTCCACTGCCCTTGATAAGTCACCAATGACCTCTGGCTCCAGGCCCATCCCACCCAACCACTGTCTCCCTAAATGAGGACCACTCACCCCCCCTCTCCAAGTCACAGCCCTGCCCAAGGCAGGTGATTTCAGGAAACCTGAGTCAGGGTTCAGGGGTCCGACTGCAAAGCTCACTCTGTCCTATCCCATTGTGGGGTACGTGGCCCAACCCTAACACAGTTCCCTGCCTCTCCCAGAGTCAGCCCCTCCCTGTGTGGCCCACACTGCTGAGCTGCTCTTTCTCCTCCTCCCGGAGTGTATTAGTACGCAGGGAGCATCTCCATTACATATCTCTAACCCCCACCATAGCCTACAGGTAGGTGCTACTGGCCCCACTTACAGATGAGAAAACTGAGGCTCAGAGAGATAAAGTGACACAGAGAGGAAGGGTAGAGTCGGGTTTCAAATGCAACCCCTTCTGCTCCATGTCTCCTGCATCCAGCCCAGCCCCTGTTCTGACCCCTTTGGGCCTCAGATTACCATCCAGAGAAGTGGATCCAGGGTAATACCAACCTTCCAACAGGGATAAAGATGTAGAATACGGCCAGCACACGGGTCCGCTGGTCCCTCACGAAGAGGTCTCCCAGGACAGTGGGAGCGATGGTGGAGTAGCTGGCTGTGCCAGTCCCCACCAGCCCCCGGGACAAGAAGAAGAGCCAGGAGTACTGGGGAAACGGGCACAAGACCACAGTCAGTTCCAGAAACCACCCTCAGGGCAAAGGGGACTTAAAGATCTGTCAGAGGAGCCAAGGACATCCTGTGACACGGAGGAGGGGGATCAGTGCTCTAAGTGAAAAGTGAAAGTGTTAGTTTCTCAGTCCTGTCCGACTCTTTGCAACCCCACAGACTGTAACCCACCAGGCTCCTCTGTCCGTAGGATTCTCCAAGCAAGAATACTGGAGTGGGTTGCCGTTCCCTTCTCCAGAGGATCTCCACAACCCAGGGCTCCAGACACCTCACTATTCCCCCAAGTCGCACAGGCGCCCCCTGCTGGCGCCCACAGCCACTGCCCTGAGGAGTCTTCCTGGGCATCCTGGTTGGCAAACGGGCCTTTGTTCACCAGGCCACTTCCCGCAGACAGTAGCAGTTACCCGCACTCCCACCCCTATAGCTCAGTCCGGAGGAAGATGCCAAAGAGGAAGGCCCCTGTTAAGAAAGCCCAACGGCCTGTTGAGAAGACCCTTCTCTCAGCCCTTGGAAGGCTGTCCCCCCGAGCCAGCCTGGAGCAGAAACAGCTCTACTGGAGCTGGATCACAGAGGAAGAAGATGGAGGAGCCTCCCCCCCGGGGGGGGCCTGGGAAGGAGAGAGGGCACCTACCCGGGGGGAGATGAAGGAGCTGGAGAGGCCGGCTCCAGACCAGAGCAGGATACCGAAGCTCAGCGTGGCCTTGCGGCTGTGTCGGTCGCCCAGGTAGCCAAACACGGGTGCAGACAGCAGCAGGAAGCTGATGAAGACTGGAGGAGACACACAAGGGGCGGCATGCAGCTCACTCCCCCAACAAAGACGGGGTGGTGGCGGGTGCGGAGCAGAAGGGTCCAGTAGGCCCATAAAAGGGAACTGACTCAGCTTGCTTAAAAGTGAGTAGAAACTGGTGTGAGAAAAATTGAATCCCCCAATCCCCACCACGGCCCAGAGTCACAGGGAGTGGGAGGAATGGGCGGGGGGCTGGGCCTGGGCTCAAATCTCAGCTCTGCGGTTTGCCCACCGTGCAGCCTTGGGTGCCTCAGGCGTGCTCTCTGAGCACCAGTCCAACAGTGGAGGTCAACATTTCCCCCTCCCAGGCTGTGTAAACGTGAGACAGAGGTGAGCACAGAGTCTGGCACGGAGCTGCCAGGACCCTGTCTTTAGCAGAACTCCCACCCCGGTGAGCCTGACTTGGGGCCTGGTGAAATTTTGCTCTCAGGCCCCTGCTGGAGGTAGCGGGTGAAAGGCCAGGTGGGCGGGGTGTGGGCCAGATGCCTGCTTTGAGCAGATGAGCACGGTTAAGAATGAGCACACTGATTATAAACCAGCGGCCCCTGGAGGCTGGAAGAGACTTGGTTTTCCTAAGTAAAACATTCCCCTGACGCTGCACTTGTATTTATACCATTTTCCAAAGCACCTAACACTTATGAATTGGTGACTGGATTAATGAATGCATTTACTATTCTGCGAAGACAGAGAAATTGCCACGTTTTTGCTTAACTACACCACGTGGATAGGTATACCTTCACTGCTTCTGTTCCTCAAATAAAATCGCCTCCATCCTTCTCCCTGAGTCCGCTGCCTCCGAGAGCCGGCAGGTGGCCAGGGTAAAGTCTAACCCTCCGCCACCCGGTCCACCCGACCCAAGGGCCTTGGGCTCTTCGGGGCCCCGCCCAGTGTCTGCGCTTTCATTCACTAAGCACAGATGATTGACATTTTCTGAACCCAATGAATGTCCAGACTCGTCCCAACTCAGGTTCCAGCCCCTCCCGCTTTGCCCTGACCCGCTCTCGTATTGGGTTACGCCATAAGCAATTGGCGGAAATTAAGCTAGTTTTGACCTACAAAAACGGCAATTTAATGTGGTTTGACCTAATATTCCGCAGAGAATGGTCTTTGATGTCAACGGCATTTAAAAATTTAATAACTACTGCCAAAATGAAATGCCAAAATAGGCCTCCAAAAAGGCTGTATCAATTTACGCTGGAATAGAAGTATTACACATTGTTTGCTGACACTTGATAGGATCAATTGATTTATTTTCGTTCATTTAATGGTTAAAACACAAACGGTGTCTCAGCTACGTTTTAATCTGCATCATCCTTTTCCCCAGTGAGGATGAGTATCAGCCCCTGGGTTCACATCCTCAGCCTATTTTTTTCTGTTGGTTCTGTGTTGATAATTTCTCCAGTCCCTTACATTTGTTTTAAGGATTTAAAATCAAATTCTGAGACTGAATTCCTGGGCTCGCATTCTGACCCCACCGCTTCCTAGTTGTGTGACTTTGGGCAAAATCCTTTACTCTCTGATTCCCCTTTAATCAGAGTAGAAGAGTTAATAGTACTTCCCCCCTAAGCTTATGAGGAAGATTAAATAAAATAAAGCACATAAAAGACAAGCTTTCTGTAAATACCCAACAGATGTTATCTATTATTATTGCTAATTGCATTTATAGTTTCAATCACCATCATACAGAAGAATTTAGCTTTGATGTAATCAGATGCATCAATCTTTCTCTGGGGAGGTTGTTTCGTGTCTTGTTAACACATGTCTTTGTCACCTAAAGCTTCTATTTCCCCAAATGCTCTAATACTTTACGAGATTAGGGGTAGGGATTCCTCACAGTATGTGTGTGTGCATGCTCAGTTGCTAAGTTGTGTTGGACTCTTTGCTACCCCATGGACTACAGCCCACCAGGCTCCACTGTCCATGGGATTTCCCAGGAAAGAATACCAGTGTGGGTTGCCATTTCCTTTTCCAGGGGATCTTCCCAATCCAGAGATCGAACACAAGTCTCCTGCATCTCCTGCATTGGCAGGCAGATTCTTTATGACTGAGCCACCTGCAGGATACAAACACTTTAAACCAGCAGATCTCCCGGAATGGAGAAGCCTGCCCCTAAGTGGAAGGCAGGCACGCCTTCACTCCCACCTCCAGATTCAAATCATTTCTGTGACAAGGCGGAAGTCTTGAAGGAGCACAAGGTTCAGAGAAGGACTCTGTAAACAACCACCTGGATTTGAATCACAGCTCTCTCACTTGCAAGCTGTGTGGCCTTCAGAAGGTCCATTGCCTTTCTGTGCCTCAGGTTTGTCATCTGTAAAATGGGCATAATAATAATAATTCCCTGCCTCGTGGGATTGTTGTGAAGATTAAATGACTACATGTTATTAAGCCCTTAGAACAGCACCTGGCACATGGTAAAGGCCACATCAGTGTTTGTTTTAAATATTGTAAATCAATTAACTAACTCCAGCAGCGTCTCTGTCCCACCCCATTCTTATAGCTACACTGAGCCCTCTAAGCCATCAGTTTCCTCCAGTCTGCACCGCTGCAGTGACACAGAAAAGTAAGAAGACTCCCCTGAAGTCTCCGGGGACAAGCCTGGTTGTCAGGCCTCCAAGCTCACTGCCCTTCCCACATACCTGTTTGGGCTACTTCTGCAGAAAAGACCCTTCCCTTCATCACATACATGTACCTGCACATCCCCACTGCACACTCACAAGCACGTCTCTGTGTTCACAGGCTTTCTCTCTCTCTCTCTCTCTCTCTCTCTCTCCCCCTCTCTCTCCTCCTCTCTCTCACACACACAAACTTCTCCCTCCACACAACTCAGTTATCAGGGGACTTGCAGTAAAAATCCTGTTCACTATGGTAAGAACCAGGGAAGAGAAATATTGATTCAACTTCCATTATCTGTTTAATCTAGAAGGTTCTGGGTGTTGAGCCTAGAAAGCCTCCCTCTGGCTACAATATGACTGGAAGGTGAGCACCATCTGTCCACCTTAGCCCTGAGATAAGAGCAATTGGGAAAGACTGCCATCTAAAGCAATGATCTAACTCTTTTGTTCATTGCCTCCATTTGTAGAACCGTGTACCCTTTTGCATGTCTTCAGCTGACATCTAAGGCATTTTTTATCGTAAGTTCAGCTGCAAAGGATGTGATTTCCAGCCGTGATTGTACTTTTCAAACTAGATTGTCATCAGTCCTTAGGGCTGCAGATCAAGTTCATGGGAAACATGTACCATAGAGCCTTATGGGCAAAGTCAGTCCTCATTTGGCAAATCAATAGGGCAAATCAGACTGATTGTCAGTGAGAAAGATATGAAAATGTCGGCTTCGTTTTTTAATTAATTTTTATTGGGGTTTTGTTGCTTTACAATGGTGTCTTGGTTTCCACTGAACAGCTTCATTTTTTTTTTAATTGAAATAGATGTGCTGATACCCATCCATGAGACAACCATCTCACTTCTGGATCCTCAGTTGCAGATAAAGAGAACGCAATCGGGCCAGCGAGATAAGTCTTGGCACCTTGCCATCCTGGGTTTGTGGCCTGGAGCAAACATCCACCAACACTCTCTCAGTCCTGCCCCCAATGCCTCGTCAGCAGAAGCCAGCAGCCTTGAGGGGTCCCTCTGTCTGATGGGTTGTTTTTTTTAATATTCTATTTGTTTATTTGGGCGCACTAGGTCTTAGTTTCAGTACTCAGGCTCTCAGTGGCAGCATGTGGAATCTAGTTCCCCGACCAGGGACCGAACCTGGGCCCCCTGCATTGGGAGTATAGAGTCTTAGCTGCTGGAGCACCAGGGAAGTCTCCCCTGGAGGTTTTTTACACCTAGTAAAACTCAGAATGGGGAGAGCTGTATTTTCCTCCCCAAAATGGTGGACAGGTGAATATTAAAGGGGAGGTGGGAAAAAAGACCCAGATGCTTGTTCTCAGGCAGATCTATCTTAGAAAAAAAATATATGGGCTTAAGGATCTGTACAGGGATTCTCAAAACTGTAAAGAGCACACATGTGTATCCTGTGTTGTGACCGTGTGTGCACACACGTGGGTGTGTGTGTGTGCATCTGTGTGTCACCATCCAGAAACCCATAGGGGAAAAGTTAGCGCCTCGTGACCCCCAACTGCCCCCACCTTGAAATGGAAGGTGTGGCTGCTCCCCTCTGCGGGACTGTAGGCCCCAGTGGGCCCAGACCCCATCTGAGCCCCTGTGGGTATGTGTCGCTGTCTGTCAATCTACTTTTATTTTTTTATTTTTGGCTGCACTATGCAGGATCTTAGTTCCTTGACCAGGGATCGAACCTGCACCTACAGTGGAAGCACAGATCTTAACCACTAGACCGCAAGGGAAGTCCACTGTCTGTCTGTCTGGGTCCTAGTGACCAGGATTTTCAGATCCATGAGAAGAAAGCACATGTTAGAAATTCTAACCCCAGCTACAAAGCTGAGCTTAATAGACATGAAGGATGAATGACCAACTCCCCAGCCAGGATCTAAAGCCTGGGAGCCTTTTCAAGCCCCAGCTCCCTCCCTTCTTCCCCCAGCATGTGTGCATGCTAAGTTGCTCCAGTTGTGTCCGACTCTTCGCACAGGCAAGAATACTAGTGTGGCTGCCAAGACCTCCTCCAGGGTATCTTCCCAGCTTGGGGACAGAGCCCGTGTCTCCTGTGGCTCCTGCATTGCAGGCAGATTCTTTACCGCTGAGCCACCAAGGAAGCCCCCTTTCCCCAGCACTCACCCTCAAACCCTAAGAGGCTGTTCAGGCACCAAATCCCAGCCTCTACTGCTTCCTTCTCTGACACAGATTGTCCCTCCCACCCAACCACCACCCATCCTCTGTGCCAGGGCACTCAATGGGGCTCAGCTGACCCCCCACCAGCAGCTGGAGCTGCACAGGGAACAGGACCTGCCAAAAGACCCCCGCCCCGCGTGAGCCGACCACCCCAGGCTGGGGACTCCCTCCTTACCTGTCTGAAGCAAACCAGCGTTGCTGTCACTGATATGGAAAAACTTCTGTACGTCCAGCAGCACTCCTGTGGACAGATGGACAGTGCTCAGAAAATGGGAAGTTGCCTGCCAGGTCTCCACAGGCAGCTGCCTCTGCATTTGGGACAGGCCCACAGCTGACCAGCTCATCACAGACATGGCACCCAGGCCTACTCTTCTCGTCCCTCTCTCCCACACACACACACAACCACACACACACACACAAATACAAATACAGGGTCTAGCATATCCCAAAGGCACAGACATACCAATTCATGCACAAACCTGCATGCCTGGACTACACACACATATTCACGCATCACAGACATGCAGATCCACATAGGTACATACAAACAGGCACACCCAGAGATATATACTCCCAGGAGCAGACACACACACACACACACAGGAGCCAGCACTCATAGCCATGTAAGTCCAGTCTCGTACACCCAGACACGTGTACACTGAGAGGTACACATAAAGACACACCCACAGGCACATGTGCATCTTCGCATATGCAGGCCTGCCATTCACATCATCGTCAGAGTGGCTGGGGTGCTCAGTCACTCAGTCGTGTCTGACTCTCTGCGACTCCATGGACTGTGGCCCACAAGGCTCCCATGTCCCTGGAATTCTCCAGGCAAGAATACAGGAGTGGGCTGCATTCCCTTATCCAGGGGATCTTCCTGACCCAGGGATCCAACCCGAGTCTCCTGAACTGACAGGCGATTCTTTACCACTGCGCCACCTGGGAAGCCCCAGGATGACTGGCAGCCATTCACTTAGACTACAGTGCAATGAAAGTCCTGAAACTGTGCGGCACCACAGCCCTACTTGTATACACACTCCAGACATTCATAGATATGCATATACACACATGAGCATGTACATGCAAAGACATATGTGCCCTGGCCTGGCACAGGTGCACACACAGCGCGTTCCTCCAGAGGCATGAACACACCGACATGGAGTGCCTGTGAGAGCTTCAGAGGTAGGACCCACTTAGGTCTGACCTTGGCCCCTCCTCCCTGAGGGTTGCAGGTTCTTGCTCCAAGATCTTGCTAGGTTGATATCCTGTCAGTCCCTAGTAGTATTTCAGAACTAGTCAGGGTCCAAGGCACCTGCTTATCTGAGCTGTGAGGCTCTGGCCCTGTCATCACTTTGAATTATGAGACAGCTGAGAGCCATCAGTATCACTGTCCCCATTATACAGATGGAGAAACAGAGGCCCCAGCCACCTATGGCTGTACAGTTGGGACCATCCCAGGCAGAGGCAGCCCACCCTCCCACCCAGTGTCACAAATGGGGCTCTGCAGGAACGCCCCCACGGTGGAGAAGAAAACCTGCCATTCACACCTTGAAGACCTGCCAGTGGGCGAAAAAGATGGAAGAAACAGAGAAGTCAAATGAGATTTTTGTTCTGATATTCACCTTGGAGCCAGTTCCCACAAAATCCAGATACTAGCTTGTACGTCTTTCCTTCTCCCTTAATACTTTTAATTACACAAATTAGATATATTCATTGTCAAGAAAGAGACAACACAGATAAGCAAAGTCAATGGCGGGCTTCCCCGGTAGCTCAGTGGTAAAGAATCTACCTGCCAATGCAGGAGACATGGGTTCGATCCCTGGTCCAGGAAGATCCAACATGATGCAAAGCAACTAAGCCTGTGCACCACAACTACTGAGCTTGTGCTCCAGAGCCTGGGAGCTGCAACTACTGAAGCCCACGTGCCCTAGAGCCTGTGCTGCACAAGAGAAACCACGGCAATCAGAAACCCTGCATCGCAACTAGAGAGTAGCCCCTGCTTGCCGCAACTAGAGAAAAGCAAAGACTCAGCACGGCCAAAACTAAATAAGTAAAGAAAATTATTTTAAGTCAGTGGCTAGGTAAAAAATTCTCTATAATCGCATTCATTTTGGGGACTGGGACTCAGCCCCTTGTTTTGGCCACTCCTGGGCTCCTCTGAGCCCCGTGCTGCTCTGGAGGCAGCCGGAGGACCAAGTGTGGGTCCAGCCTTGTTTTCTTCTGCTATCACTCTGGCCTCCCAGAGACCTGCTTCACACAAGAGAATTCTTAGTGTGTGAGAACCACCTGCCCCAACAGTCCCCAGGCACTGGGCAAGGTTTCACTTCCCTGGGCCTCCCTCAACCCAATAACCATGGCCCTGCTATTCACACAGCCAGAGGAAGTCCTTTCAGTCCTAGGAGGCTGAAAGACCTCCATACCCCCAGTTGCCACTTCCCCTCCTCTTCATGCCCTCTACCCCCACTCCAGTGCAGGACTGCTCAGCTTCAGCCTAATCTATCGCAGTAGCCTCTGACTGACCTGTCTCTTTTGGCCTTCATCAGAACCTCAACCCTGATTATAGTCTCCCCACCTGAGTATTTTCCGTGGCTCCCCATTGCTTCAGCAGAAAGTGCAAGCTCCCAGCCTGGTCCCCTAGAAACCTATGATCCAGCCCCAGACACTCTTTCAGAATCATTTCCTGCTTTCTCCCCATCTCTCTACCTGTGATTGGACCATGCACTTTTGCCCCATTCCCTGCCTTACCGATTTTCTCAGCCTTCATGACCCAAACCTTCTGCCCCTCTTCTGTGAATTCTACCTGAACCCTCAGTGTTTCATCCTGGGAAAGTTATTCGCTCAGTTGTGTCCAACTCTTTGTGACCCTACAGACTGTAGCCCGCCAGGCTTCTCTGTCCGTGGGATTCTGCAGGCAAGAATCCTGGAGTGGATTGCTGTTTGCTCCTCCAGGGGATCTTCCTGACTCAGGGATCAAACCTGGGTCTCCTGCATTGCAGGCAGATTTTTTACCATCTGAGCCACCAGGAAAGCCCCTTTTTTTTCATCCCAGGGCTATCCAGCTAATGGTCACTCATCTCTGTCCTGGGTTAGAGACACTTGAACGTGTGTTCTGTGTCCCTCTGAGCTCCTCAAACACTGTCACCCACAGGGTCTGGTGCTGTCTGCAGTCCCCAAGTCACGTTCATTCTGCATCTGCAAGCTAGTAACTGATGAATCCACCTCCTGGCCTCAGGGAGCCCAGCTGCTGCAGGCACTCCTCTGAGCTCCCCAGGTACCCTCCCCGCAACCCGTGCTTCCTCATCTGGCTGCATCTCTCTGTCTTGCAGGAGTCCTGTTAACAAGTTTCTCTCTCTGCCACATGAGATGGTCATTCCTGTGTTCAGGAGCTACAAGGATGACTCCTCCCTCCCCTGGGTCCCCAAGTCCCATAGTACTCAGTTCATCTTGAATGAGTGCATGATCAAGGCAGAAAAGAAGGTTGAACCTTGAACGAATGAACGAAAAAGTCCATGGGTGGTGACTTGCAGACAGAGCGAGTTGAGCCCTGGGGCCTACAGGAAGGAAGGCCCAATGTGCAAGGTTTCACGCCACCTGCTGCCCCAGAACAAGCAGCCAGCTCGTTCTTGCTTGGAAGCAGGGCCGGGCCACCCCGTCCTACGCCAGGACCTCACCTCAACGTTCCACCCAGAATTTCCAGAGCTTTGCCTGAGGCCCAGCCCTCCCTGGAGCCCTCACCTACCCACCGCTGTCAAGCACCCACACCTGTAGGCACACTCAGTTGGGGCACACACTGGGAACTCGTTTGGTCCTCTCCCCATTCAGGCTGGCCTGGAACCAACCCATTGCTTCAGCAGAAAGTGCAAGCTCCCAGCCTGGTCCCCTAGAAACCTATGATCCAGCCCCAGACACTCTTTCAGAATCATTTCCTGCTTTCTCCCCATCTCTCTACCTGTGATTGGACCATGCACTTTTGCCCCATTCCCTGCCTTACCGATTTTCTCAGCCTTCATGACCCAAACCTTCTGCCCCTCTTCTGTGAATTCTACCTGAACCCTCAGTGTTTCATCCTGGGAAAGTTATTCGCTCAGTTGTGTCCAACTCTTTGTGACCCTACAGACTGTAGCCCGCCAGGCTTCTCTGTCCGTGGGATTCTGCAGGCAAGAATCCTGGAGTGGATTGCTGTTTGCTCCTCCAGGGGATCTTCCTGACTCAGGGATCAAACCTGGGTCTCCTGCATTGCAGGCAGATTTTTTACCATCTGAGCCACCAGGAAAGCCCCTTTTTTTTCATCCCAGGGCTATCCAGCTAATGGTCACTCATCTCTGTCCTGGGTTAGAGACACTTGAACGTGTGTTCTGTGTCCCTCTGAGCTCCTCAAACACTGTCACCCACAGGGTCTGGTGCTGTCTGCAGTCCCCAAGTCACGTTCATTCTGCATCTGCAAGCTAGTAACTGATGAATCCACCTCCTGGCCTCAGGGAGCCCAGCTGCTGCAGGCACCTCCTCTGAGCTCCCCAGGTACCCTCCCCGCAACCCGTGCTTCCTCATCTGGCTGCATCTCTCTGTCTTGCAGGAGTCCTGTTAACAAGTTTCTCTCTCTGCCACATGAGATGGTCATTCCTGTGTTCAGGAGCTACAAGGATGACTCCTCCCTCCCCTGGGTCCCCAAGTCCCATAGTACTCAGTTCATCTTGAATGAGTGCATGATCAAGGCAGAAAAGAAGGTTGAACCTTGAACGAATGAACGAAAAAGTCCATGGGTGGTGACTTGCAGACAGAGCGAGTTGAGCCCTGGGGCCTACAGGAAGGAAGGCCCAATGTGCAAGGTTTCACGCCACCTGCTGCCCCAGAACAAGCAGCCAGCTCATTCTTGCTTGGAAGCAGGGCCGGGCCACCCCGTCCTACGCCAGGACCTCACCTCAACGTTCCACCCAGAATTTCCAGAGCTTTGCCTGAGGCCCAGCCCTCCCTGGAGCCCTCACCTACCCACCGCTGTCAAGCACCCACACCTGTAGGCACACTCAGTTGGGGCACACACTGGGAACTCGTTTGGTCCTCTCCCCATTCAGGCTGGCCTGGAACCATTGCGGGGGGGAAGGAGCGGAGGTGAGAATAGCAGAGATGAGCCGCACAAGAAGAAAGTTCGCTGGATGGAGGCCCACTGTGGACACACAGCACTGGCTGCTGGCAGCTGCTTGCCCAGCTTGCCCGGCCCCTGCCTCACCTGCAATGATGAACCAGTTCATGTAGTTCAGGAGGTTGATGTAGCAGAGCACGGCAGCGGCCACATAAGCTCTCCAACGGGGCAGGCTCCAGGGGGCGGGCATGGATGGAGGACCTGTGTCCGTGGCCCCCAAGTGTCCACCTGGCCCCGGGGACTGACCGTGAAGCCCCTCTGGCTGCCTGAACTCCACAGACATGTCCCCAGTCTCACCAGCCTACAGCTCTGGTCCCAGGATGGATGCCAGGATGAAAGACACATCAGCTCTGCACAGAGTCACTTCCTGTGGTCTCCCAGTCACCCAACCTCAAAGCAGCTGCCCTAACCGCTCAGGATCTTATCACAGGTCTCTGCTGAGCCCACTGCAGCCTCACCGGTGAGATTTCACCATCCACAACCCCTGAGGCCCGAGGTGGGGGGAGAGAGCTCCTGGCCCGCCAACCAGAGTAACTGGTCCTTTTGACCCAGCCTGCGATGCGGTAGCTGCCCTGAGAAAGAGAAGTTTTGCAGGACAGGAAGTGAGAGGAGTCTCCTAGAGTCCCATGTGCTGGGGGAGGGTCTGGCTGCCACACACGAGACGGACTGTGAATGAGGGATTCGAACCTGGGTCCTAGGTGTTGGCCAGGAAAGCAACACTGGACTGGACCATAAGTGGAGGTTAACCCCTGCTCCTATGTAAAGTCCTACCTGGAGGAACAAAGACGATGAGGGGCTGCCGACAGGAAGGCAGCCCAAGGGCAAAGCTCATCAATGGATGTGAAATTTAAGGGGAGATTTTTGATGAAGGGCAAAATATTGGCATGCTCTTAAAGTGTCTCTCTAGGGACTTCCCTGGCAGTCCGGTGGTCAAGACTCCAGGCTCCTAATGCAGGAGACCCAGGTTCAAACCCCGGTCAGGGAACTAGACCCCTACATGCTGAGACTAAAAGATCCCACATGCCACAGCTAAGACCCAGCACAGGCAAATAAATAAAATAGCATCACTAATGAGGGGCAGAATTCCCACCAGGATTGCATGGCCCCAGTCTAATCATGACAGAATCTCAGACAAACCCAAACAAGGGACACTGTTTTTTTTTAATAGACTTTATTTCTTAAGAGCAGTCATAGGTTCACAGAAAATTGAGCAAAATGTTTAGATTTCCCATATACCCCTCTGCTCTCACACATGCTTAGCCTCCCCCATTATCTACACCCCTGCCCAGAGCAGGACATTTGCCACAGTTGATGAACTTACACTGACACGTCATTATCACTCGGAGTCCATCATTCACATTAGGGTTCACTCTTGGTGTTGTGCCTTTTATGGGTTTGGACAAATAAGTATCACCTGTACCTATCATTAGGAAATAGTGTCCATGGCGCTAGTGGTAAAGAACCTGCCTGTCACTGCAGGAGACATGAGAGATGCTGGTTGGACCCCTAAGTCGGGAAGATCGTCTGGAGGAGGAAATGGCAGCCCACTCCAGTCTTCTTGCCTGGAGAATCCCATGGACAGAGGAGCCTGGTGGGCTACAGTCCCTAGGGTGGCAACGAGTCAGAAATGACCAAAGTGACTTAGCACGCATGCAGGCATATAGCACCCGGGGATATACAGCACCAGATTCACCAGGTGGGCTGTCATAAGTAAATACAAAAGGATACTCAAGGAGCNTATCACCTCACACCAATCAGAATGGCCATCATAAAAAAATCTACAAACAATAAATGCTGGAGACGGTGTGGAGAAAAGGGAATCCTCTTGCACCGTTGGTGGGAATGCAAACTGATACAACCACTATGGAGAACAGTATGCAGATTTCTTAAAAACTAGAAATAAAACCACCATATGACCCAGCAATCCCACTACTAGGCATATACCCTGAGGGAACCAAAATTGAAAAAGATACATGTAACCCAATATTCATTGCAGCTCTAGTTACAATAGCTAGGACATGGAAGCAACCTTGATGTCCATTAACAGATGAGTGGATAAAGAAGCTGTGGTACATATATACAATGCAACATTACTCAGCCGTAGAAAGGAAAGTATTTGAGTCAGTCCTAATGCGGTGGATGAACCCAGAGCCTATTATACAGAGTGAAGTAAGTCAGAAAGAGAAAATCAGTTATCTTACACTAACACATATATATGGAATGTAAAAAGAGGGTCCTGAGAAACTATTTGCAGAGCACCAGGGAAGACACAGACCCTGAGAACAGACTGTGGACAGGACTCAGCAGGAGAAGGTGGGAGGTGTGGAGAAAGTAACACGGAGACACACATTACCACATGTAGAATAGATGACAGCCAATGGGAACTTGCCGTATGACTCAGGGAACTTAAACTGGGGCTCCATAACAACGGAGAGGGGTGGGGTGGGGAGGGAGGGGGGAAGGATATTCAAGTGGAAGGGGACATGGGTAAACCTATGGCTGATTCAGGTTGATGTTTGGTAGAAATCGATACAATACTGTAAATCAATTATCCTTCAATTAAAAATAAATAAATAAAAATCTACAAACCATAAACACTGGAGGGGATGTACAGAAAAGGGAACCATCATACAATGTTGGTGGGAATTTAAATTAGTACAGTGTCCATGGAGAACAGCTTGCAGGTTCCTCAAAAAGCTAAAAATAGAACTGTCATATGACCCAGCAATCCCACTCCTGGGTATATATCCAGAGAAAAACATAATTGGAAAAGACACATGCACGTCAATGTTCATTTTAGTACGGTTTACATTAGCCAGGACAGGTAAATAACCTAAATTTCCATCAACAGAGGAATGGATAAAAAAGATGTCATACATATATACAATGGAATATTACTCAGCCATAAAAAAGAATAAAAATGCCCTTTGCAGCAACACGGATGGACTGAGAGACTGTCACACTGAATGAGGTAAGTCAGACACAAATACAAATATCATATGATACCAATTACACGTGGAACCTGAAAAGGGGTACAAATGAACTTATTTACAAAACAGAAGTAGAGTCACAGATGCACAGATATAGGAAACAAACTCATGGTTACTGGGGGATGGGGAGGGGAGGAATAAATTGGGAGATTGGGATTGACATGTACACACTACATATACAACTAATAAGAACCTATGGCATAGCACAGGAACTTGACTCATCCTCCATAATGGCCTTAGGGGAAAAGAATCTAAAAACAAGAGTGGATGTATGTGTAAGCGATTCACTTTGCTGTACATCTGAAACTAACACAACATTGTAAATCAACTACACTTAAAAATTTAAAAAAAAAAACTTGGGCTGACTAAATAAAGAAATAAAGCTGATAAAAAAACATCCACGTGCAAGCTTTTGTGCGGACATAAGCTTTTAACTGGGCTTCCCAGGTGGTGCTAGGGGTAAAGAACGCAGCTGCCAATGCAGGAGTCGTGGGTTCAATCCTGGGTCAGGGAGATCCTCTGGAGTAGGAAATAGCGAACTACTCCAGTGTTCTTGTCTGGGAAATCCCATGAACAGAAGAGCCTGGCGGGCTATAGTCCACGGGATCGCAAAGTGTCGGACGTGACTGAGCAACTGAGCACGCACATAAGCTTTTAACTAGAGCCCTTGCTCCGCAGCAAGAGACGCCCACGCGAACACAAAGAGGCTGTGTGGTGCGATGAAGACCCGGCACAGCCAATACATAAATAAATAATTTGTAAGTGTCTTAAAGAAACCACAACGATATACTGTTCTTCATATCCACTAGTATGGACTAAAATTGTAAGCTTTATCAATTAAAAAACCAGAAAATAAGTGTTGGCAAAGATATAGAGAAATTGAAACCTTCATACATAGCTGGTAGGACTGAAGATGGTTCAGCTATTTTGGGTTGAGAGGAGGACCATAAAGAAGGCTAAGCACTGAAGAATTGATGCTTTTGAATTATGGTGCTGGAGAAAAGACTCTTGAGGCTCCCTAGGACAGCAAGGAGATCAAACCAGTCAGTCCTAACAGAAATCAACCCTGAATACTCACTGGAAGGACAGGTGCTGAAACTGAAGCTCCAGTTCTTTGCGAAGAGGCCACTCACTGGAAAAGACCCTTGCCATTCCCTTCTCCAGGGGATCTTCCTGACCCAGGAGTTGAACCCAGGTCTCCTGCACTGCAGGCACATTCTTTACTGACTGAGCTATCACAGAAGCCCAGTGCAGGAGACCTGGGTTCAATCCCTGAGTCAGGAAGATCCCCTGGAGTAGGGAATGGCCACCCATTCCAGTATTCTTGCCTGGAGAATTCCAGGGACAGAGGAGCCTAAGGAGCTATGGTCCATGGGGGTCACAAAGAGTCGGACACGACTGAGCAACTAACACACACACACACACACACACACACACACTCTCTTACTGTATAACATCCCCACAAACGTATGGCTTTAAGCAACTATGGTTGGTAGTGGTTTAATCGCTAAGACATGACCGACTCTTTGCAACCCCATGGACTGTAGTCCACCAAGCTCCTCCGCCCATAGGATTCTCCAGGCAAGAATACTAGAGTGGGTTACCATTTTCTTCTCCAGGGGATCTTCCCAACCCAGGGATCAAACCCAGGTCTCCTGCACTGTGGGCAGATCCTTTACCACTGAGCCACCAGGGAAGCCCTTAAGTAACTATAGTTCTTTATTATCCCTCATGGTTTCAGTGGGTCAGGAATTCGAGAGCAGCGTATTGGGTGCTCTGAGTCAGTCTCTTGTGTGGTGAAGAGAGACGCCACTCAAGGCTGCGCTCGTTTGAAGGCCAGACTTGGACTGGAGGGTCCATTTCCCAGGACCCCTGAGGTTCACCCACATGGCCGGCAAGTTGGTGCTAGCTGTTGGCTCCTCTCTGCAGAACTGCCTGAGTGTCCTCACAGTGGGGTATGTGCCCGTGTGTGTGTCCTCACAGAGGGGTGTGTGCCCGTGTGTGTGTCCTCACAGTGGGGTGTGTGCCCGTGTGTGTCCTCACAGTGGGGTGTGTGCCCTTGTGTGTGTCCTCACAGTGGGGTGTGTGCCCTTGTGTGTGTCCTTACAACGTGGTGGCTTGTTTCCTTCAGAGGGAGCAATCCGATAGGAACCGGGGCAGAAACTTCAAACCCTTTCACTTTCTAAGTCTGCATTCTGCTGCATTCTAATCTGTCACACAGGCCAGCCCTGATTCATTGTAGGACAGGACTACTCAAGGGCACAGATAACCAGGAGACAAAGCTACCTG